CCTCAACTCCCACTTACTGCTCTGGATATTGGGACACTTGGTGATTTTCCCTTTTCCTGCGTTTAAGCTCAATTTACACTGAAAAGGTTTGTTTTATAATATTATATCCAATAGGGAACAGAAGAAGCCTTACCCCATCTGTTTAGAAGGTCAGAATGATTAGAAGCCCTCAGTGCTGTATTTTCAAATGGGAGCAGGCAACGGAGCCTACTTAAATTGCCTATAGTTATCTCGATACCAGAGTACTCTTAGGGCCTGTTCCATTCAGTGCAATGCTACTACTAACAGGGCTTGGAAAAGCATGTAGAAACAACTTCTTAGTAAATAACCACAAGTGTAGATATATTTTGGCTTCAGGATAATAACTCTCACAGACTGATAAACTGCAGATTGGTATTCAAGATCCTTCCCATAACCTATCTTATCTCACACCTACTATGCCCTCAATGCAGCCAGAACTACCTCCCGCGGCCAAAGTATGTGTCATGACATTCTCCTTCCAAGACTTCACCAGTATTGTTCATACTAACTGGAACACTCTTCTTTCTCGCTTTATTTTTTAAAGCCCATTTATTCTACAAGGACTAGCTCAAATACTACCTCATCTGCAAAGTCTTCCCGGGTCCCTGTCACTTACGCTGCTTTTGGCTTACTCTCCCCTCTGCCAATACATTTATTAATCAACCACTTACAGTGTTGCTAGGTCTGTTCCAATTAATATGCTACTCATAAAAGGGAAAGGAAACATATTAACAAACTCAGACATACTCCCCACTAAGGAATAGAATTAAGTAATGTTTCCAATCAGACATAGGTACATCAAGGATCAGCCATGATCATCTGGAGAGCCTCACTGTGCCACACCTCCTAACCTCCATACTGGCTCAATCCATAGTTCTATCCATAATCTATCCTGTTGCCCTTCCTAGCAGCCCGGACTCTCTAGGAACTGGGGCCTTGTCCCAAACTCCCAAACTCATTTGGCTAGGGTTCTCAAGTAAATACTTGCCAGCTCTCTTCCTGATCTCCACATTTGTCATCACTGGCAAAAGTGATGCCATGATAGACTAGACCTCCTGCAATCTCAGCATAACTCACTCTGCCAGGCTCTGAGGTTCTGCCTGCTGCCTAAACTCTCTCAATGCTACTTTATAGGCACTAGACTGAACCATTCAATACCAGCATTTGCCTGAATGACCTCTGTGCCCACTGAATCACATCTGGACATCCTGAAAGTCCTTGCCAGGGATAGTGTGTGGTAGCAGACAAGTCCTCTCCAGGCCATGTCCTTCTTTCTCAACTTCTTCTTCCCTTCTCTCTTACCCTTGTTAACATCTGATTTACCATTCCTCCAGATGAAGCATAATAATGGTTGTTGGGAACTCATCAGGTCACCTATAATTTCTCTGTATATCTAACAATCCCTGATAGGAACTCACATTCACCCTCTTTCCACCACAAAAGTTTAACCTGGTGCAGAATGAGTCAAACATAAGAAAAGATGGCTACGGAGAGTACTAAAAGAGGATACTGTGTGGCCAATACCTGGAGGGGTGATTCTACTGTCACACCTGGCAATGACCAGAAGAATAAAAGGAAAAGAAAGCAGCCACCAGAAAAACAGAAAATCTCTTTCTCCAGCTTCCTTCACATCACCTGCTCCTATGTCCTTCCATACGAGGAGCACTGCAGCATACTCACCTCTTTGGCTCTCATATTCTTGGTCATATTTTCTAAGCGCTATATTAGGTGCTTAAAATCTCATGAAATGATTGCTAGGCACAGTAGTGTAACACAGCTTTATAGGTGGTACTATGTCAAATATAATACTAACATTCAAAATTATCTGGTACTTATAAAAAGCCGAGGAAAGAATAGTTTCTCACCTCAAATCATATCCTGAAGGCAGCATGTATGACTTTTTAAAATATATATATATTATTGCCAAAATTTCAAACGTATACAAAAGTAGCAAGGAAAGTTAATGAAGCCATGTGTATCCCTCACCCACTTATACAAATGACAACTGTTCATGACCACTCTTGTTTCCTCATCTATACCCCTCCCTATACTCTTATCCTCCACCAGGTTATTTGGAGGCTAATCCCAAGCATACTATCATTTTATACATAAGTATTTCAACTCATTATCTCTTACAAGAAATTTTTTTTAAAAAAATAACTAAAATATCATTATGAAGGCTCTAAAACTAATAACTCCTTAATATCATTAAATATCCAGCCAGTTTTCAAATGTCCCCATCAGTTTTATTTGCTTGAATCATAACCAAAATAAGGTCTACACATGGCATCAGTCTCATATCTCTTTTATGCCATCAGTTCACCCTCCCTCCCCTATTTCCTTCTGAAATTTATTTGTTGAAAAAACTGGCCTGTAGAACTCCTCAGTGTGGCTTTTGCTGATACATTCCTCATGGTCTCATTGAACATAATCTACTTTCCTCTGTATTTCCTCAAAAATGGTAGTTATATCTACAGGCTTGAGCATATTTGGCTCAATTTTTTGGCAAGACTGTTTCATAGTGGAAAGCACACAATATCTGGTTATCTTTTTGTGATGTTAAAAGCCATCGATGATCTCTAGCTATATCCATTATTTCACTAAAGATTACAAAATGGTGATACAGCGACATTCTATGATTCTTCCATCTCTTAACAGCTGAGACATGCCAATGAGAAACTTCTCCTCAATTACTTGTTATACTGAGCTATAATTTACAGAGAAAAGGCAGAAAAAAATGCTTGAGTCTTTCCATTCATTACCAGTATTCAAAATTAGTTAATTTCCCGGCATCCTCCAAAGCCAACCAATTATTATCAGAGTTTTTTTTTGTTGTTCTTAAGAGATAGGGTCTCATTCTGTAGCCCAGACTGGAGTGCAGCAGCGCAATCACTGCTCACCGTAACCTCAAGTCATCCTCCTGCCTCAGCCTTCCGAGTAGCAGGGACAAAAGGTGTGCGCATGGCACCTGGATATTTTTTGGTTTTTATGTAGAGATGGGGTCTCACTATGTTGCCCAGGCTTGGGCTCAAGTGATCCTCCCGTCTCAGCCTCCCAAAGTGCTCATGCCTCCCCTTACAGGCATAAACCACCACGTCCAGCCAAGTTTTTTCTTTAGTATTACTCAAATATACTTAATGTATTTCAATATACTATAGCTATTACTGATCATCTTACCATCTCTGGCTCCTCAGGCCTTTAAGATGCCCTAAGGAGTTTTGATAGTTTCCTTGTTTTTTGAAGTGACCAATATTCCAAACTCACCTGTACCTTTCCTGCCCCAGATCTGTAAGTAGCTATTCTCCAAGGAGCCTTCATTTACTTTAGTGGGAATTGGTATTTAGAGACTAATCTGAGTGCTAGGGGATCGGTGCTATGGGATTGATCCTTGTTTTTAGGCATTTCCAGGAAAAAGAGCTAGAAAATGTACCACCATAGAGTCTTTCCTAACTCTTTAATTTTTAAATATTAGCACTGCTACCCCTTTCCTTGATGAATGATACATACCCATATGCACTTGTCTCTACCCAGCTTTTTTCACTGACAATCATTCCACAACAGTATAAAGAGATACCTCTTCAGTATTTTACAATTGTGGCTGTATTGTAGTGAAAACACTGTACTGACTAACATTTGGGTTGTTTGCACCTTTTGCTATGATTACAAACAATGCTGCGATACATAGCTTCGTGTGTTTGTCCTTTTTTCATTTTTGCCAGTGTAACATTGAGATAGATCCCTGGAAGTGAGTTCTGGGACAAAGGTAAATATAAATGCAATTTTTCTAGATAGCAGCAAATTCTCTTCCCTGGCATTTATACCATTTGCATTTTCTCTAGCAATGTGTGAGAGTGCCTGCTTCCTTCTATTCCCTTCACAGTCTCATCAACAGAATAGCTTGTCAAACTTTTTAATGTCTGTCAACATAATCAGCAAGAAATGATATCTCAATAAAGTATGTTTGCATATTTCTTATCAGTAGAAAGGTTAAGCATCTTTTTCTATGTTTAAGAGGCACTGGAATGCTTTTTCTGTAAACCATCTGTTCATACATCTTACCTATTCTATGGAGTTATAGTTTTAGTCTCTATTTTTTAGGGATATTAACCTTTGTGATATAAAACTGCAAATACACTTCCAATTTGTCACTTGTTTTTTTACTTGATTTATCATGTTTTCAGCTATACAAAGTTATTATTTTTACCATCAAATTTACCAATATTTCCCTTATTGTATCCGGATTTTGAGTTATTGTTAGGGTGTTTATTTCATTTCCAGGTCCAGAGGAATTTACCATTTTTTTTCCCCAGTACTTACATAGTTTCACTTTTATTACATTACGTGTTTGATTTATTTACAAATTAACCTTGGCATAATACAAAGAATAAATCTAATACTGTTTTCCTTCTTATATACCAAACATTCACATGTAACTCCATCTATTTCCTCATTTCCTATTCAGTTCCATTAGTCTGTCTTTTTAAGCACCAATCCCACAGTTTTAATTCTAGAAGCTTAATATGTTTCAATAACTAGTAAGGCTACAACCTTCCTCCACTACTCTTCTTTTGAGGGTTTTCCTTATATTCCTACTTATTTGTTCTTTCCTGTGAAATGTATGATGTACTTGCCTAGTTCCAAGAAAACACACAGACGCACACAGTCATGATAAAGTTATAAACTAAGAGGAATGACAAATTTATGATGTTGAAACCTAAAGCCATATACAAGGACTAAAACTTAGGAAAAAAGCCTTAAAGTATTTTATCATTCTGTGTTTGTGAAAAGATACAGGGTGAACCGAGAAAATCCTTGTTACATTACCATGGGACAATTTTATTTAAACAAATTACATTAACTAGCAAAGGAACACAATTTATTTAATTTATATTATGTATTATACAATACAACTGATTAGAAAAAAACCCCAAATGACCAAATAACAAAGCACACAAGACATTAGTGATGTACTTGCTTACCTTCCTTTTTCAGCCATTTCACAATGTTCCCTTCTTCCATTGTAGGAGACAGTGATGGCATTAGTATCTTAATGGGATCAACTGAAATTGAAAAAAAGGAAAGATTAGCCACAAAAAATAATGTGCTTCATGAGGCATCAATAAAGTTGAAGTAAATTAATATCAAACTCTATTTGAGAAAAGATATTCAAAAGTCTAAAAGACTCCCAACTGGTAAACTAAGTGTCTAATAAACAGTATGGAAACAAATTAAAAAAAAATAAAAATCTTTTTTTGGAATATTTTCAACTCTTTTTTCATAGTTCCCCAATACTCTATGCATGTTTTCAAGCAGGTGCTCACAAGAAAAAAAAAAAAAATCTAGCACTCTGGGAGGCCAAGGAGGGAGGATCGCTAAAGGTCAAGAGTTCGAAACCAGCCTGAGCAAGAGTAAGACCTCGTCTCTACTAAAAATAGAAAGTAATTAATTGGCCAACTAAAATTATATGGAAAAAAAAAATTAGCCGGCATGTCTGTGCATGCCTGTAGTTCCAGCTATCGTCGAGGGCTGAGCAGAAGGATTGCTTAAGCCCAGGAGTTTGAGGTTGCTGTGAGCTAGGCTGATGCCATAGCACTCTAGCCCAGGCCCTAAGAGTGAGACTCTGTCTCAAAAAAAAAAAAAAAAAAATAAATTAAAAATTAAAAAAGAGAAAAACTGATTTAGGTTTCATCTCCTCCTTTCCCTTTTGTCTTTGCAAAAAACATTTACAGGTCAAGAAAAAGACTGGGAAAAAACAGTAACAGCAAAAATGGGGTTTTAAGTTTTGTTAATAAGAATAATGAAGGTCAGAGTTTAAGAACTGGCCTTTTCTTTTCCTCTAATATTATATCACTCAAGATTCAAAGGTTCCCCCTAGTAAGTGTGAACGAAAAGGTTTGCCTTGTCAAGAATGACCGTGCAAGAGAGCTTAAATGTTTAAATTAATCTCAGATTTTGTTCCATACCACAATTCAACTGGGGATCCAAAAGGGTAGACCTCAAACCAGAATGACCTCCCGATGAAGCATAACTACTTTTTCCTTAGGTACCAAAGAAGAAGACACCAAATATTTGTCCACCTGAGCTTCTCGCAATAGTCACTACTGTCCGGGAATATACTCAAACAGCATACAGTTTTTAGATTACAACTTACTAATAATATTTCGTGGTACCAAATTACATTCCCTGAAGTCTTCCATAGAACCTATTCTCTCCTCAGATTATTCAAATCTCCAGACCTAAACAGGCAAAACACTAGAGTATAGCTAACATATTTCAAATGTGGAAGAGGACTGAACAGTTCTTTTATCTCCATTGAGGCTTTAGGATTAAAAACAAGGGAACGTAGCACTAATGTTAAATGAGGTTAAATATTTCCCTTGGGAAACTTAACTAATTTTACTGTAATTTCAAATGGAGAGCTCCTATGGCTTCAAGACAAAGGCACTTCCATCCCTTTGAAGTATTTAGAAGAAAGCTTCTGGCCGCTCTTCACTGAAGGATGCAAGCATACAAACCTGCCTCAGCTGTTTCCTCCTTTTCTTTAAAGAACTTCCAGCCTATAGGGAACTGCAGTTTCTTCCCAGCTCTTCCATGTGCAAGGCATAAATGGACCTGCCTTTCAAGGCATATCATATCCACAGAGCCACCTCTGTTCCTATCATCAGGGCTCACAGGGAGTAAGGTAGCAATTCAGATATGTGTGTTTGCTTTACATACACGAACTCTCCCTCTCAAACAAAAAGCCCAAAGTCTAAATATAGGGTTGTACTAAGAAGATCAACTGTAGAAGCCCACAGATCTAAGTTATATTCTCTAACTCAATGTAACCATCAGCATTAGGACCGTTACTTTGAATTCCACCTGACTCTTTTCCTCTCTCTCAATTGGTACCAAATTCTAGTAAGGCTAGCAAAGTAGAATTATCACCCCTAAATGCCTCAATGATGATAGAACTCAAACCATATTCCAAGTCAACATGTCCATTCCATCAATGAGAAAACCACAATCCAGACTAATTAAGGGATGTGAATCTAGTGAATCTACCTGCTTAACTCTCAAGGCTGTATTCTACTATGCTGTGCTAACTTTATGTCTCAGTGTTCCTTACAAATGTGGATTATCAATTAATCACCAGTTATTTATAGCCTATTCACCCAGAAATTCAAACATAGCAAACCAGACATATCAAGTCCATGTGAGCATTCTTCATGTTTAATCAAAGATCCTAATAAAATCTTTCCCTGTCTTGAGCATATTCCTGTATTATAAAACCACTTTTACTACTGACAATGAAAATTGCAAATGTGGAAGAGAACAGGTAATCTCTAGGTCCATTATATACTGGAACCGTGGGAGGAAAAATAACCACAATAAGTTTCCTAACTCTTAATTTACTATGAAAACAGTTATTTCAGAAGAGATTAGAGAACATAGGCCATCCAACTCCAATCCACTATAACTCAATAATTATAGCTGCAATAGTTTAATTCCCAAGCTACTCCTAGTTAAAAATGCGAATTATAACTAGAACATAGCTTTAAAAATATTTGCATTTTTTTCCTTAGAAAAGTCCTTGTGAACTAAAATAGGCACATTAAAATATTAGGTAGAAAATAATTAAACCACGCACAACTTCAATTTACAACACTGGAGTACCAAACTCTGGAGTGAACTAGAATTAGCAAAGTGTGCTTAGGGAACACACACATACACAGAAGGAAATATTGTAACATTAATGATGCATCTCAAAATCCAAACTATAACAATCCTACATCTAATTGCAAAAATTCTTAAAAAGTGCTCCAAGCTCAATACACTACACATTTCAAAATAATAAAACGAGTGTTCTAATCCTCTACATTATGTTGTGCGACTATCACCTTTTTCATTTTTTTACATGGCCTGATGAAGAAAACAAAAACATTTGCCCAAAGAATGTATATAGCCAGCCCAAGGCTCAGCATTAATTTTGTTAAGCTCACAATGACAAATGAGCTTTTTAATTTTAAAAAGGGTAAAAATAAACAAACAAACCCCAAAACAACACCCCTACCATCTAAATAGCACCAGCATAAGAGGCCAACCTCATCTTGAAAAGAATAGCTAAAAACAAACAAACAAAGCCCCAATATGTTTCTTCTGTCAAAAAGTTCAAGCCTGGTATTGTGACGCAGAATATTTCATAAACATATACATATTAAATCTATATATCAAATAGAGTTCCACTTTCAAAAAGCAACTAAATGGACCTCAATGATTCTATACTCAGATTCCAGACAAATACTAAATTGATTCTCTGAAAACAAAGGCTCGTACTGGCCTCCCCTTCCTCTTTTTTTTTTTTTCAGTATTCGTTAATTATTCATCAAGAGAAACTATTCCTCAGCCCACATATTCATAACTCAGGAACACAGGTCAGTGACAGATTTCAATGTAAATCAACTCAAAGAAAATCTCTATATTCCAAAGTCACTTTGCACTCTAAAAGATACCAGCCTTCCTCATCTCTTCAAAATCTTTCACAGAACCATTATTTCTGTAGAAATCTGCATATGCCTTCTTTCTTGGTTCAGCCGCAGCAAACTTATAAAAAGCTACAACCCCCAGGGATACACCAAACGCTCCGAGGACGCGTGGGCTCCGGCCGCGCGCGCTTCGTCAAAGCGCTGGAAGCCATGGCAGTCAGGGTCCTCAATGGGCACGCCAACCTCAACACCCAACCTCAACACGTCCTTCCCGTCCCATGGAGAAATGAACTATGCAGCTTCCTCCTACTGGCGCGGAGCCGCAGCTCCGCGCACGCGCAGCTCGGTGCCCCAACCTGCCTAAGTCACGTGTGTGCTGGGGATGGGGGGAGCAGGAAGGCGTCAGTCTACTTTTTTACCACCTCCCCCTTCCGCCATGTTTTCAGGTCAGGTGTGTCTTGGTCTTCCCCATAAAGAAAAGGCCCGGGGACTCCAGGACACCAGGGCTGCGCCGTGGCTTTGGTAGAGCCCGGGGCTGCGAGGCAGGGCAGCGGGGTAAACCGAGATCTGGAGCCGTGGTGTCTGGCAGTAACTGGCTATCCTGGTACAGAATGTCCCGTTGGTCACGGCCTACGGGAGCCTGGTGAGGAGGTGCCCCGCCCCATTCCTATAGTCGCACCTGACCCAATAGACGCCCTCCTCTTGAGCTGTTCCATGACTTCTTTCTCCACCCACTCACCTGGCCTTTTCTGGGTTTTGACTCCTATCTCAGGAGTAGCTGGGCGCTTATGTCACTGACCCAGACCGACCCTCCCCTAGCCGAGAACCCTCCTTCTAAATCCTAGGACACCTCCTCTGTTAGCTCCATAAGTAAAAAAAGAAAGCTTTAGAATATGCAGTATTTTAAAAATGTAATAAAAAATAGAAAATAAATCCTAGGTTACAAACTCCACCCGTTCCCGCTATTCACTTCCCTGATCCACACCTGGCTTTAACCACCTTGCTTTGCCTCAAGTTTTTTACCTCTCTTCAATATTTTTGTACTTTTACTCTACTTGCCATGATACAATTCATATTTATTTTTATGATTCTATCTCCTATTATAATCTGTGACCTAAGAAACCTTTACATTTCCACTAATCTTGACATTAAGGACTATATTATGAAACCTTATTCATTAAGTATTATTTTCCAAATTGCCACAAAGAACCTCAAAAATTTCCATATTTTAAAAATAAAAACAACATAATCATTCCTCACACAGTCACCCTTCATGGAATAAATTGAAACTGCTTCTCTGACTAATGATAATAAAATATAAAAATTCTGTAACAGATCACTACCCTTACTCTGAAATGAAGGTGACAAAAACCAAAGAAGGATATTATGGACAGCTCTATTATTCAGTACTATAATATCTCTTGATCGATTATACTCATTTATCATGAAGAGTAAAATGTACTATATTTTCAGATCACTCTAACCAATCTATTCTCAGATTTTCATGCAAGAAAAATCATTTCAAAAGATTAGCATTAATGTATTAATAACAGCACATATTTCATTTTAGTATATCCTCTCTTGATTAGAACATTATATATACATCATTTCCAAATATATTTTTCCAGTGGGAAAGTAATTATACAATTAAAATTTCAGCTTTGAGTGACAGGGCTACACATAATATCTGTTTTATGACTGTTGTCAACTTTATTAAGATAGTGTAGGATTTTTAGACTCCTTGGAATGGAATTTTGACCTATACTTAATATCATTTAATTTTCATTAGAAATTAAATACAGCCTTCCTCCTCATTCCAGTGGGCAATACATTCTATCATTCACCTGTCAAATTAAGGCGGCTCTAAAATGTGCACCAATTTCCTACTAATATTAATTCTGCACAACTATGGGTAAGAATAAAGGAAATGTGGTTTTTGCTCCACTCATTATATAGGTTATTTCTACTAGTACTCAAAAAGTATTAAAAATTTAGTTAGAATTTAACCCTTCTGTAGTCATTTTAGTGTTCTGTTCCTTTTTATAAAGCTAGCAAATTTTATTTAATTGGCTCATAAAATCTGCCCTTCTATAGTAGTTACAAAACATAATCTAAAAATTTTTAAGATGGCTGTGGTAATCTATATGTCCAGTAGTTTATATTTAAACACAGTAATTTGAAAAGTTACACAAATCATTAGGACTTTTAATCTTTCTTTGTCAACAGAAATAATAAAGTTTTTGCTTAGTATATTGTTACTTTCCATTATGCCAGCTATACAAGCAATCTATCAATCACTGAATTTTATAGTAGCTCCTCTGAGCAATTCCTGTATTTCTCCAAATCTGCTCTTCCAATTTTTTGCAGTACAATTCCTCCTTCAATTCCAAATATGGTACATTCATCTGTTTCTACTTTCTTGTTCCCTAAAGTATTTCTTTTATCCTAAGAATACTCACACTTCAGTGAACTCCATTATATCAAAGCTTTAAATTGATGATTTATACATAAACTCTAAAAGGTCTCCAGATTAAAAAAAAAATTAATACAAGCAAACTCTCAAAATACAAATGCAGAACAAATTGCTTTGTGGTTAATATGAAGCAAATCTAAGCTCCATTACTCTGACTAAAGTAATTAAGGAAATTCGGCAGTTTACATTTGGTAAAGCTGAAGTGTCACGCTCTATCTAGTTCATTTATACAACTATAATCCAAGCACAAAAATCATGAAATGAAGATAGACCAAATGAAGAAGTAAATTACTCAGTACTTTCTTAGTGTGCCTCCCCCATCCCTAACATTAATTTGCTTCTTCTCTAACAGGGAAAGAGACTACTCATTTAATTGCCTCTCATTTCAATGCAGGAACTAAATAAAATTGAACCTTTAAAATTGATGTTCAAATAAAACAAGTCTGCCATCTGCAGGCTGGATGAAATAAGGCAGAATGAAGTACAGGTAATTTTAAAATTAGCACCAGGGCACAGAATACGCAGCTTTGAACAAAAGGAGCTGTTTTTTTTTAAAGGAGTGTTTGCCATGTAAGTCTTCTTTGTTCAAATAGTTATTTTGGTGTGGTACTGGTGTAAAAATAGATTGAAAATGTTAATGGACCACAAAAGAAAATGCACAACAGTTTGTCTGAAAATAGCATTTACTTATGCTAACAAACAAAAAATAACCCATAAACAATATACAAGTCAAGTATGCCTTATCTGAAATGCTTGTGACCAGAAGTGTTTTGGATTTCTTATTCTTCCGATTTTGGAATATTTGCATTGTTCTTACTGGGTGAACATACCTAATCCAAAAATCTGAAAATATGAAATGCTCCAAAGAGCATTTCTATTGAGCCTCACGTCTATGCTCGAAAGTTTCAGATTTCAGATTTTCAGATTAGGGACACTCAACCTGTATATGGCATAATCCAATTTCTACCTGGCCAGCACACACACAAACTGAAAGGACATACTCCAAAATGACAGTAGTAGTTATCTCTAGTTAGTGATATTACCATAAGGGCTTTTTGTTTCTTATAAACTACGTTTTAATATTTTTCTACAATACATTTATCCAGTTTCACTCCCTCCCCCAAACTTACCTAATACTAAGTAAAAAAAATGTGCTTTTGTTTTTGTTATTTTTTAAACAAATCCAGGTCACAAAAGAGAGAAACTGGCACACAATTTTGGAAGCAGAATAGTAAATAGATGAGTAATAATCAACTAAAGAGACCCTAGAAAGCCTAAGATACCCTAAGCCAGGGAGGATTTGTGTGGCTGCTGTTTGCAGAGCAGCTAGATACCTGGATCCTCTCTCAATCCAATGCTAGGTTACAACCTATCCTCATTCAACAGAAGACTGGAGATTGTTTTCTCTGGAGAGGGTTCAAAAAGAGGGCCTTTGGAATGGAAGTTCTACCTACACAGGAAAAGCAAAAACAGTAACAATCAAAATATGGGGCAATATATGACAATCCTCCATTGTGCATAATTTTTTTTAGTGTAAACATGGAATGGATTTAACTAGAATAACTTCAATGGAGAGGAAAAACAGAGACCAGAAGTCATTCACAGATAATGTCTAAAATAGAGACAGAGAGATGGGCAAATGCCAAAATAAAGTTAAGAGACAAACAAAAATGGTTGCTTCTAAGGAAGAAGGGAAATGCGGAGAGCTGGGGTAGAGACTCACTGTATTGTTATAAGCTTTTTAGTACTAGCAGCCTTTTGACTATCTAAATTATATGTATGTATTACTGTGTTAAAGGAAATATCTTATTACTTAATAAAATATTTTTTTTAGAGGAGAAGCAGGAAACCATAGTGATTAGAAAGCAAGCGCTGGTGCCAAACTGCCTAGGCTCAAATTACAGATCCACCACCTACAAGTTACTTAATCACTCTGTGCCTCAGTTTCCTCTTCTGTAAAATGGTGATATAAATAGGTTTTTGTAAAGAAATAAAGTAACACATGCAGAGTCTTTACAGTGAGGCCTGGCAAAATGTTAGCTGTTTATTATTGATAGAGAGCACAGAAATGGTTAAGAGGGTAGATTCTGGAGGCATCCAGATAGTTGGCTAGACGTATCACAATATCCCATAGCATGTCACAATTCCTTCCTGGGTTATTAAGAGATGGATGCACAGGTTCCTTTCACCCTCCCAGCCTAAACGTGAAGATTTGCATTTTACTCTCTCCTTTACCTAATCCAGCCTTGTTCTCATATACATATACAATACAGTGCTTGACAGTTTAAGTGCTAAAACTGAGGTATTAATATAAACAAAATGTAATAGCTGATGGAAGCACAATCTCTACACAATGAATTCACAAAAATGGTCACTTATTAAACTTTTCTCAACCTACCCTTTTGAGAGTATATATCCTGCCTGGACCCTCTCAGATATACAGTAAGATCTGAGAGGGTTGCACCTAAGTACTAAGAAATATTTCAAACTATATGGAAGTCACTCTATTTGAAGGAATAGTATGAACAAAAGAAAGGCGAGGGAAGACATATTTAGGGGAAGGTGAACAGTCTGATGAGCCTAAATGCACAAGTAAACTTACCCACAACCAGATCTGAATCAAGATTTCCAAATTATAGGCTTTGCTATGGTCACCTATGTAAATGTATCTACTAGTCATTTATGTATAATCAGAACCCCTATATTAAAACACATCTTTCTTGTTCTCAGATATGTTAAATATCCTCACAATGTAGCAGAACTACTTTCTGT